AGTTAAGTCCTTACCCCGGATGCTGAGGCAGAGGAGGAGAGAGGTGTGGCTTCCTCCCCTGGGCCCGATGCTGCGCAGCATCCTCCTGCCGGCACCCAGCGAGCCCCTGGGGAGGGAGGGAGGGAGAGGGGGGCTGCCGACCCTCTGCCACCCCCCTGCGCGAAGGACCCTGTCCCGGGGCTGGATCCAAACCACCCGGGCTCAGGGCTCCTTGTCCCCCAGCAGGACATTGGGCACAGTCCTGCGAGCCCCAGGCCTCGACAGCCCAGTGCCGGGGTTTGGCGATGGAGGTGCTCTAGGTGATGGGCTCCGTCCCCGGGGCCAGCAGGGGTAGCAGAGGGTGGCCCTGGGGAAGCAGGTTTGGGGGGAAAGCCCTGGGGGACGCTGGCGAAGCGGTGGCCTTGAGGGGCTGATGGAGCGAAGTGGGGTTGGACGCAGGCGGTGGAGCTGGCTTGGTTGGCACTAACGGGATTGGGAAGTGTTGGAGCTCAGCGCCGGCTCTGCCTCCATCTCTTTATCTAGAGCTGCTTGTGACAGGGCTTAGCGAAGCACTGTCTGAATACCGGCACGTTTAATCCTGCGTCTCCAGCCTTGCAGTGGGTGCAGGCTTGCGTGTGGGTCCCGCGGTGGCTGGTGGCACAGGGTGCCAGGCTCACCCCGTCGCACTTCTTCGGTGAGGCGGGACTGGTGTCACTGCCTTCTGGTAGGCTGGAGGAGGTTTCTCGTGGGGAACCTCTTCTTGCAAGCTCCTGGGGCGGCTGTGACCACATCTGGGACCCCCGCTGGGTGCAAACACAGCCTGTCCCTCCCTCTCCCACCTGGGAAACGCGAGCGCCTCGCTCACGGTGTGGGGTGGTGACCCAGTCCTTGCTGAGGTCCTGCTGGGTTTGGCACCGTGGGTGGCTTTCCCCTGGGCAGGGAGCGTTCCCCGCTCTGGGGACCCGGCCACAGAGGGCAGGGTCCTGTTGCCCTGGCACAGACCCCTCTTAGCAAAGGCCGGACAAAGCCTGAGCTGTGGCGTGGACACAAGTCTGGTCACAGGCTCCGGAAAGTCCCCGTGTCTGTGTCTCTGCCCACTTCTTGCAGCAGGAGTTTGTTCCAGGCTTGGACAGGCGCAGGGAGCAGAGCCGACTCCTGCGGGCAGAGCACACGCGGCCACTGGTTCCGCTTTTGCTGCCGAGGAGTGGAGGGGAAACTGCTGAAACAGCTCTTGCGTTAGCATCCCCTCCTCCAGCTTGTTCTTGCCCCATTCGCCAGGGCCCACGATGTCTCTCGCAGGCGTCACACCACCGCTCGTGTCCCCGCTCCCCATCTGCCCCCGGGGTGGTCGTCGCGCTGGGGCAGTGCTGAGGTGCTGATCCCGGCGGGGTACAGGGCAGATGCTGCGGGAAGGCGTGTGTCTCAGCTGCGTTGCCCTGCGAAGCTGCCACATCCCCTCTGGGGCGGGGAGGGGTCCGGGACCCTTCTGGGAGCGCAGAGCCAGATCCCCTTACAGGGCCTGATCCTGCTGCTGCCCTCCAAGGTGACTTGCGCTGGTGGCAATCCCTGTTGTCTGGCTCTCTGCCTGTCCGCGGGACTCGGGGGGACCAGGGGGCCACGGCAGGCGGGATGGATGCTCTCCCCTTGCTGGCTGCTCTACTGGGTGAGGACGTGGGGGGGACTGGCAGGGGTCAGAGGACCATTCCCTGTGGGTCTGGCTGGGTACGCCGAGCTCTGCCGGCGTTGGGAGAGCCGGTTCGGGGAAGGGGTCTGCCGCGTTCCCCAG